TAGTGCTCAGATACCTGATACCTACCCACCTTGATTTGGATAAAAAACACTAACTCATTTTAATCCTATTTCCCCGAGTGCCTTTTCACATCTTCATTGCTTTTCCTCCCTCCTTCTTTATTGCCTAGGAAATTAAATACTTACTGAATAAGTTGATTTTATTTCAGTGGTCTCTCACTGGTATCCTTAAAGGCTCTTTCTTCATCTTCAATCCTTGCCTTTATAAAAGTCCTATGAGTTGGGGCACCTGGGTGGTACAGTCAATTAAGCATCCGACTCTCGGTTTCCACTCTGGTCACTCAGGTTTTGGTCTCCAGTTGTGGGGTCAAGCCTTGTATTGGGCTCTGCACTCAGTGCAGTCTGCTTGGGATTCTCTCACCTTTTCCCCCTGCATATCTCCCTGACCACTTCCACGTCTGTGCATTCTCTCTCTCTTAGAAAAAGTACTGTAAACTATAATAATCTGATCCATTCTCAAGTGTGGTTTTCTTGTTTTATGTGAATGGCTTTCAAATATACTTTTTCAGCCTACTTCTCCCACTTGAACTCTAGTGTATATTTTGATCTGCCTACAGCAATACAACATTCAGTTGTGTCATCCTTTCAATTATTGATTTATCAGAAATAATAGTCATTGTCTTTACCTTATCCTTACTTCTTTCTATTTCCTTTTTTCCCCATAGTCAGCCCCTTCTAGTATCAGGTTGCTTCCATCATCTTTGCTATACTTTTTTTTTTAAAGATTTTATTTATTTATTTGACACAGAGATCACAAGTAGGCAGAAAGGCAGGCAGAGAGAGAGGAGGAAGCAGGCTCCCTGCTGAGCAGAGAGCCCGATGCGGGGCTTGATCCCAGGACCCTGGGATCATGACCCAAGCCAAAGGCAGAGGCTTTAACCAACTGAGCCACCCAGGTGCCCTCATCTTTGCTATACTTAATGATCTCTCCACAATTTGTGTTATTTCACTCTGAAATATCTTTACATCTACTCTCATATTCTCATTTGCTACCAACCTCTTCCAAAAGGAGAGCATATTATTTCAGTAACTGCTGTAATTACTATTTGGATTTGCCATGGTTTTTACCTAGTTATTCCATTTATACTATCAATATACCAAAAAGATATCACTTATTATATAAAATTTAAGTTCCTTCTGACAGAAAAATTTCCCTTCTGATCATTTCCAAATTTATTTCTCTCTGTGACTGAGAATTCTATTCATCTCTCTTTGTTCTAGTCTCCCAGGTGTATTCCATACAATTGATTTTATTCGTCACAACTGGACCTTTCTCTGTGTGATAGATGCTACATACCCATGTAGATGCTTGCAAAGTTAGCCAACTACAGCTTAGAGGGTACAGTAGTATACACAAGACTACCCTCACTTCTGATGCCAACTGTAATTTCAGGAGTCCCCAAGCCTAGCATGAATATCAACACTATGCTATAAGGACTCAGGGAACTTGCTGAAAGCTATAATACAGTTATGGTTTATTACAGAAGAAAAAATACGGATTAGAATCAGCTAAACACAAAGGGCAGAGTCCAGGAAGGTACCAAACATGAAGCTTCTAGTTAACCTCTCTCTATAGAATCATAGACAGCATTACCTTGCTGGTGTGACAATACCTACAGAATATTGCCAACCAGGGAAGCATCCCCTGAGTCCATTGTCCAGAGTTTATATTGGGGCTCCATGACTAGGCATGATTAACTGTACTTGTAGCCAATCTCAGTTTTCAGCCCCTTGAGAGGTCAAGCTGATACTGTGTGACCCAAAGCACCCACCCTAAATCACACTGTTGGTGTGGGTCAAAGACCTCCCTAAATTACATTGTGATTTTCTGGCTGGCCAAAAGCTCCCAGGCAAACAAATATATATTCCAAGGGCTTAGTGATTACTTCCCAGAAGCCAAAGGCAAATGTCAGATGTCTCTTTGCGCAAGGTTATATTCTTTACTATACAATACTACATATCATTTAGTTAAAAGATCAAGTTTCGCTTCCTCCATGAAATGTTCCTTGACTACTCCAGGCCATGTCAATTCCTATTTTGCTGCATTCATATTCTACTCATATCTGAAAATTATGAACAGATGCATCCTCTGTTATGATCAAATTTCTTTCCCCATCCAGTTAACATTTCCCCCAAATAAGATTCTCTCTTTTACTTATTCTTACTGTAATAATAGAGGCTAGATATTCAATAGTTACCTCTCTCTTGTTTTTAAGATTTTATTTATTTATCTGACAGAGAGACAGCGAGAGAGGAAACATAAGCAGGAGGAGTGCGAGAGGGAGAAGCAGGCTTCCCGCTGAGCAGGGAGCCTGATGTAGGGCTCGATCCCAGGACCCTGGGATCATGAGCTGAGCTGAAGGCAGACGCTTAACGACTGAGCCACCCAGGTGCCCCAGTTACCTCTCTTGATGCTATGCAAAGAAAACATCTTTCTCATCCATTCAGAAATCATTTAATCATAAGTTCTTTTAAATATACATGCCAAGATCATATTCCTTTATCTCAGATAACCGTGTGTTAATGTATACTCAGAAGATAGTCAATAATATGTTGACATCCAAGAGCTTAACTTTTAGTTGGGAAGGCAATATTATCAAATGAGCATTCTACATATAATATTCATACTAAAATAGCAGATTGTTGAAAGAGTTCTTGAAATGGATGGTCCAGGCTATAATTATAATCTAATTTCAGATAAATTGTATACATGAAAGGATACAAATAATATATGAAGGCTTTTGGATAAATGAATAGTAGAATGTCTCTGAAGGTGGTTGTGGTTCTTAGAAAGATGATTTAACTCTAGTTACTAATACAGATTACTTTTAGTGTGTTCTAGAACTGCACATAAATGTAATTGTATAATATATACTCTTTTGCATAAAGCTTTCACTCTGAAAAATGAGATTCATCTCTTTCCACTGTGTATCAGATTTTTTTTTTATTGGTGAGTAGTATTGTATTGTATATATACATGACACAGTATTACCATTTACCTTTTGATGAATACTTGGGCAGTTACCAGTTAAGGGCTATTGTAAATAAGACACAAGTCAATTGTACTTGTGTCTTATTTATAATATATATGGATTCATCAATCCGTATTTTAAATTACCCTACTAGACATGGGTGGTGATAAGGTAACAATAATCAGATATAGCCAAAAATTATAAGAAAAATAATAGAGTTAAAAAAAAGAAAGAAATGGGCGCCTGGGTGGCTCAGTGGGTTAAAGCCTCTGCCTTCGGCTCAGGTCATGGTCCCAGAGTCCTGGGATTGAGGCCCGCATTGGGCTCTCTGCTCAGCGGGGAGCCTGCTTCCTCCTCTCTCTCTGACTGCCTCTCTGCCTACTTGTGATCTATCTCTCTGTCAAATAAATAAATAAAATCTTTAAAAAAAAAAAAAAGAAAGAAAAATAACAGAATCAATTAGTGCTGTAAGCATATGGTTGAGGAATCTAGGCCTTCACATCCCCCATAGGGAATAATGGAGTTAAGTTATGTTACTGCATTGAGAGGAAAACGTAAACCCATCATTCCTGAAAATTGAAAGAGTAATTCAGCAAATCAAAGGAGGAAAAGTTAGAATTGATGGTCAGGAGAATTTAGTTACTGACCATTTCTGGAAGAAAAAATTGATGGTAACAGCAGTCAGAATACAACAGTGATTATATTCATGTTTTAAGTATACTTTGTTCTCTGGTTTATTTTACAATTCCTAATGGAAAGAGGTTTCTCAAAGTCTTCCCTTTCAGGAGAAAATAAGTTGTGTGGAGAGTTAGGGCCTAGGCTATAAACAGTGTTTTCTCTCAACACTAGGAAATGAGTGCTTGAGAAAATTCATTTGCCATGGATGGGATACATGCAAGTGAGGAAGAAACAAGTGGAAGTATTTTATAACACATATTTAGGCATGAGGGAATAATATTTAGGCTTTCATTTCTACCTGAACATTTTCCTTGCTTACTGGTTAGTACCCTTAATAAGCTCACTCCCTTATTTCTGAATCTGCCCATTCCAAGAACAATCCCACTTTCATCATCCTTTGTCTTCTGTTTACTTGTCCTTTTGTTTATTATACCTGCTCAAGGTAGCTTATATTAACAATATGCCAAAGGTATGAGTGTTCTTTTCTTATGCCATTTTTTCCTCATTTTAACTGTGTAGCAAGCTTTGTGTTTATATCATATGAATTTTCCCTACCAAGAGGTAGTTTATTTTGGCCTTTGTGTAGATCACGATAGTGAGGCAGACAGTTGCACAATGGGTTGTTTGTATATACATCCAATCCATAACATTTATGTGAAAACTTACAGTGTTGTTATTCTCTTCTAGAAGAAGATGGAAAAGCTGAAGATGCTTTAGTGAAGTTCAAAGAATACCAAGACAGCCACTCTCGATCAGTCATATTCATCAACCACAAAAGATTAATTAAGGAAAGAAGTAATATTTTTGGGAAAACGTTTCCTGTAGGCAAGAACCGTATTATGTCAAAAACAATACTACGTGAATATAAGCCTGATGGAAAGGTTTTAAAAAATATTTCGGAATTAGTCAGTAGAAATATAAGCCCTGTAAGAGAGAAGTTCGCTGAGAGTAATGGATGGGAGAAATCATTCCTCAATACTAAAAATGAGAAAATTCATACTACAGTGAATCTCTGTAAACAAACAGAAAGGAGTCTGAGTGGTAAACAAGAGCTTATTCAACATCAGAAGACTCAAACTCCTGAGCAATCTTTAGATCATAATGAATGTGAAAAATCCTTCCTTATGAAAGGAATGTTATTTACACATACTAGAGCTCACAGAGGAGAAAAACCCTATGAATACAATAAAGATGGAATAGCCTTAATCGAAAAGTCAAATCTCAATGCCCATTCACAAACTCTTATTGAGAAGAAAACCCATGGATACAGCAAATACGGTAAGTTCCTCTGCAGGAAGTCTATTTTTATCATGCATCAGAGATCTCAAACAGAAGAGAAACCCTTTCAGTGTCCTTATTGTGGAAATAGCTTTAGAAGGAAGTCATATCTCATTGAACATCAACGAATTCACACAGGTGAGAAACCTTATGTCTGCAATCAATGTGGAAAAGCTTTCCGTCAAAAGACAGCCCTCACTCTTCATGAGAAAACACATATAGAGGGGAAGCCCTACATCTGTATGGATTGTGGGAAGTCCTTCCGCCAGAAGGCAACTCTCACTAGACATCACAAAACACATACAGGGGAGAAAGCCTATGAATGTACTCAGTGTGGAAGTGCTTTTAGAAAGAAGTCATACCTCATTGATCATCAGAGAACTCACACAGGAGAGAAACCATATCAATGTAATGAATGTGGGAAGGCATTTATCCAGAAGACAACCCTCACTGTACATCAGAGAACTCACACAGGAGAGAAACCCTATATATGCAGTGAATGTGGAAAGTCCTTCTGCCAAAAGACAACCCTCACTCTCCATCAAAGAATTCATACTGGGGAAAAACCCTATATTTGTAATGAATGTGGGAAGTCCTTCCGCCAGAAGGCAATCCTCACTGTTCATCAGAGAATACATACAGGAGAGAAATCCAATGGATGTCCTCAGTGTGGGAAAGCCTTTAGTAGGAAATCAAACCTCATTCGCCACCAGAAGACTCACACAGGAGAGAAACCATATGAATGTAAAGAATGTGGGAAGTTCTTCAGTTGTAAGTCAAACCTCATTGTACATCAAAAAACTCACAAGGTAGAAACCATGGGAATTCAGTAAAGGATATGACTTTTTTGGTAAAAACTTTTGAAGTCCCAGTAAACACTGTACATGATGTAGCTTGCAAATATAATATTTAACAGTTTAAGGTACTATTCCACAAATTTACCTACTGTTTGTGAACCTATATAACACACAAAGAATGACTAGACAAATGACAGTAGTCATTGAAAATACAACCCTAAATTTTTTATTATCAATTCAGCAGGCATAAACTTCCTCTGTCAAGTTTCTACAAACATTTAAAATTGCTTGTTTTCAATTTCATTACATACCTTGTTGTGACCCAGTAATAAGCAACTGACCAACTAGCAGTGGTCCATGGACCACACTGTGAGCAGAAGTGTTTTTAAAAGAAAGGAAGTATGAATGTTCATAAGAGTGGTTTAAAAGAAAGGAAGTATGTATCTCTCATTGCAAATATGAAATAAAAATTAGCTGTTACCTCCTCAAAATTTACCACAGTTCTGACTTCTAACAGAAATTAGGTTTTGCATATTATGAACCTTTATATAAATTGGATTATACATCATGTATTCTTTTATATATGGCTTGTTTCATTCATCATTATGTTTGTAAAACCCATCCTTAGTGCATGCAGCAGCAGTTCATTTATTTCTATTCTATATTGAATTCCATCATATGATTAAATTACAGTTTATCCAATCTACTGTTGATGGACTTTTTCATTGTTTACAGCTTAGGGTCATAATAAATAATGCTTCTGTGAACGTACTTATCATTTGATGTACGTGCATTCACTTCTCTTGTGTATACACTAGGAATGGAATTGCTGGGTCCTGGAGCATATGTATGTTTAATCAGCTCTGGTAGATACTACCAAATGACTCAGAACTTTCACATCATGATATAATTAACTCTGAAGGAAAACAACTGAATATTAGTGATATGGTGATGGTTCCAACCAGACAGTTCATGCTAGAGGGAAACTCTACAAATATGAAAACTGAGAATCCAATTATAATGTATGTACAAAGGCTTTTAGCCACAGCCCAAACTGTAATATAATTCCAAACAAATGTAATAAATGTGAGGTTGTCTCTAGCCACAAAAACTGCCATATTTGAAATCCAAAAGTCATATTAAGGAAAGGAAGGCTCCTAGCATGCTTCCTTGCATTAGAGAGTTCTAACTGGAGAAAAATCCTACAAGTATAGTAAAGGAACAGGGGGTAATAGCATTTACCTATGGCCTATATCTTGCTGGATGTATAAAAATGATGAATATGGAAAAGCTTATGGTCATAGTTCAAATCATACACAACACCATGGAATTCACATTGGATCAGAACTCTTTAAATGAAATTATCATAAGGGGTGCCTGGGTGGCTCAGTCAGTTGAGCTTAGGCCATGGTCTCACGGTCGTGAGATCAAGCCCCACATCAGGCTCCATCCTCAGAAGCCTGCTTGGAATTTCTCTCTCCCTCTCCCTCAAACCTTCCCCACAACCCCCTATACACGTGCTCTCTTAAAAAAAAAAAAAAAAAACTGATCATAAGAATGACTTTAGCCATAGCTCATTCCTTATACAACATCAAAAAAATTATGCTAAAGAAAGGGAAGTTTTAAAAAGGGAATGGATGTAGCTTGGAACTCTAACTTGGGGAAAGCTGCTTCTAGGAAGAAGTCTGACCATACTGATATTATAATGCTAGAGTCTACATGTAGGCACCTGGGTAATAGCCCCAGCTAAGCTCCCAGCCATCATCCAGTACCATCTGTCAACTAAATGAATGAGCCACCTGGGACACCTAATCAAGTCTTCAGATGACTATAACCCTTTCTAACACCCAACTGGAACCATCTGAAAGACCCAAGCAAGAACTGCTCAGCTAAAGCCTTCTCAGACTCCTGAACCACTAAATGGTTACATTTTAAAAATTAAATTGGATTGATTAAAAGAAAGGGAAAATAATCTCTGAGTATCTATATTATAAAATAATGGTATGATTTGGATTCAGAGTCAATGAGAAAGTGTGGTGACTACTAGGAGATACTTGGCATGAAAAGAAAAATGATCCTAAAACACAGTTGAAGATCGGATGTAGTTTTTGTTTGCAATTACATACATAAAGAACAACTCAGTGAAGGGTTTGTATGCTATTTTCTTTCTCATTTTTTGGTAGTAAATTATATTTATCAACTTGGTTAGCTTAGCTATGAAAATGCATTCTTCACAATTTTACAAAAAACAAAAACAGCCCCAAAAGACCTACTGGATAATGCAGAGGGAAACAAGCCTATCTTTGAAAGATCCTATGCAGGGTCATTTCCCTGATGTTCCATGAACTAAGATGCAGAGAAAAATCAAGATATGGAGATAAGGGAGCGCCTACGTGGCTCAATTGGTTAGGTGTGTCTGCCTTTGACTCAGGTCATGATCCCAGGGTCCTGGGATCAAGCCCCACATGTGGGTGAGGAGTGTCCTTGCTCAGCAGGGAGCCTGCTTCTCCCTCTTCCTCTCCCTCTCCCTACTCCTCTCCCTGCTCATGCTGTCAAATAAATAAAATACTTCTAAAGAAGAAAGGGAGGTAAGTACAGCCATGTCCTTATAGAAGATACTTTGAATGCTTTGAAGAAAGTCTAAATGAATTTTTGCTAACAGTTGTTCACATATAAGCTGCTTCTTAGAAAAAGCAGGCCCAATATTTTGTTTTGATGTGATTGGGCTATGGATTGGGCTATATTCCATACTCCTGTATGAAGGTTTCTTTTGAAGAATTTGGCCATGTTCTTTTTCATTAATTTATATGAATACTTTATGAATGGATAAATATATGAAATGAGGACTTTCAACTCACTGATCTATTGGTAAATGAAGTTTGGGCATCTCTAAGGAGTGTACATGATTTTGGATTGCCAAGTCCACTTACTACTACCAAACATATATAATTCACAGGAATTAATTCACAAATTCACATTTTATACACCCAACTGAAGGTCATGAGACAAAAGAGAGTTAACATGTACAAAGATTCCATCAGTCCAAGGACAGACAAGGCTCCATAGAGCATATCTATGTAATGCTTTCATTTAAAAGCAAAAGGGAGGGTACCTGGGTGACTCAGTTAAGCATCTGACTCATGATCTCAGCTCACATATTGATCTCAGGGTCGGGAGTTCAAGCCCCACACTGTGGAGCCTACTAAAAAAAATAAATAAATAGAACCAAAGGATATGGCTCACTAAGAGAAAGAAAAGGTAGGTAAGCAATTAGGGAGTCAGAATTATTCAGGTGCAAGCTCCCCAGTGTCCTTATTCACATGCAGACTGCAATTTATCTCCAGGTTGAACCACTAAGATCTATGTGAATCTTTACTTTGGGAGAGCTCAAAGCAGAAGTTCCCTGCAAGGGCATTTATGCCCCTCTGTTCACTCATTACATAGTCAAGCTAGGCTATCCAGTCAGTTACTTCATAAATGGGCTCTGGGGGCCTACACAGGAACTTTAGACTTTAAATAGTGCCACACATATCTCTGCCCTTATCTCAATCCAGGGTCAATGCCAGACATCCAAGCATCATGAACATAATATAATGTTAGAGCTTTTCCTACTACATACTGTTAACTTTTCTCCTATCCTTCTCCAAATGAAACTGTGGCCATTTACCAAGGTAGCTGCATCCAGGAAAAAGAAATAATCATACTTTTTAGGAATTACTGTCACTGTGGTCCATCAGTTGTAGTCAGGGCTTATGGAGGTCAGGTGATCAATGGAATTTTAGCTCAAGGCTCCTTCACAGTGAGCCCATTGGTTTCCCAGCCCTTCTTATTTCCCCAGTTGCAAGTGCATAATTGGAATAGATATACTTGGCAACTAACAGAACCCCATATTAGTTCTCTGACGTATGGGGTGAGGGTTATTATGGTGGGGAAGGCCAACTGGAAGCCTTTGTAGGAGAACTGCCTCTACCCATATTAAAAGTAATACCACAATCCTGTACGTATTGCAGATATTTGTGACACTGACTTGAACGATGAGTGGTGGTTTCCAACATATCTCGTTCCAGTCACTTATTTGGCTTATGCAGGAAACAGATGGATCTTAAATGATTATCATAAATTTAATCAGGTGGTAATCCTAATTGCATTCCAGATGTGGTTTTGTTGCTTGAGAAAATTAACACATCCTCTGGTATGTGCCATAAAACTACTGACCTGGAAAAAATTTTTTCTAGATATCTTTTAGTAAAGACCACCAGAAATACTGTGTTTTCAGTCCAGCATTACACCTTCACTGTTCTAACTCAGTAGCTGTGTTCATCTGGGCTCTCCAGAGAAACAGAACCACTTAGGGATTTATACACACATATACATATCTGTGTGTCTGTGTGTGTGTGTACACGCACAAACCCCTAAGTGATACACACAGATACACGTGTGCATACATGTGTTGTACATACATGCATATATGTGTGTAACATATATGTACACACACACACAAAGAAACAGAAGGCAGACAAAAAGATTTATTTAAAGAATTGGATGTTGGGGCACCTGGGTGGCTTAGTCAGTTAAGTGTCTGCCTTCAGCTCAGTTCATGATCCCAGAGTCCTGGGATCAAGACCCACACTGGGCTCCCTGCCTGCTTCTCCTTCTCCCTCCGTCCCTCTCCCCACTCATTCTCTCTCTCTCTCTCTCAAATAAAATCTTTTCAAAGAAGAAAAGAATCGGATCATGCAATTGTGGAAGCTGGCAAGTCAAAAATCTGCAGGATAGACATGCAGGCTGGAAAACCAGACAAGAATTAATGCTGGAGTTCAAGCCTAATGGCAGTCTGCTGACATAAAAATTTTCTCTTCTTCAAGAGAAGTTAGGTTTTTTTCTATTAAAGCCTTCAACTGATTGGATGAGGCCCACACACATTATGGAGGGAAATCTGCTTTACTCAGTCTACTGACTGAAATGTTAATCTTGTCTAACAAATACCTTCAAAGAAACATCTAAAATAATGT